CAAATTCTGCTATAGCCCCTCCTCTTGTGATGCTATTTTCACCTTGTTCTAATCAAAGCTAGGAAAAAAAGTAAATATAAAAGTTGCAACCTTGTCTCTTAACTTTCCAATAACTTAAGAAATATGTAATTGAACTTTTAAAGTTTAAGTTATGCTCAAAATATTACAGTATGTATAAGAGACGCACTTAGCCATGCTTGTACAATTCATAACCAATTAAGGTCTTTTCATTTGTGAACCTTTAAAAGCAATGTACTAAATTAGTAATTAACTAAAGATATTTTAACATAAAATTAAACTAAAACAACTTGAACTAAATTGACTCAACGTGAGTTAAACTAAATTAAGAAAAACAAATAAAACTACCTAAATTCGAACCTAACACTTAAGAACTTATCTATTTTAATACTCAAAATATGACAAAAAAAACTCTATGTATTATCACACCTCTAAACTTAGGATTTTACTAGTTTTTGAGCAAAACATAAAATAAAAAAAATAACATAAATGAAAAACACAACTAAGAGGAAGTAGGTTGCACCAAATCAATGATCACCTTTTATTTTCTCATAAGTTATCCCATATTCTCAACTCAAAGCATAACATAAGTACTATCCAAGTTCATGTTTTAATTCAAAAGCAAGGTCATTCTTGAATGGATTTCTGTGTGTGTGTGTATGAAATCTCTTACAATGAACATTATGCCATTTGGATAAATTTATTTTCTTGCAAAATTTAAATTAGTACTAGAGTTTCATAAGTTTATTCATCATCTTTCTCTCCACTAATGTATACTCATACTTAATCTAGGATCATTAGGTTTTTATCAAGCTTGTAATATATGGCTAGGGTTAAGACATGATAAAGAATATTTTTATAACTTAAATCACCCTAAGCACATAATTATTCTAAGACCTACATAGAGCTTTAACTTTATTCCAAGTACACCTTTTTTCTTTTCTTCCAACTTTTTCATTTATGAAACACTTTATTTTTCTTTTTTTTATAACAATTTTAACACTCCCCAATTTATTTCTTTTTGTTGGTAGTGGGGTGAATGCTAACACAATCCTTAAACTTTTTCAACAACTCCACATTTTCTACCTTTTTCAACATTTAGTTTAATGCACTTCCTAAAATGATTTACATACTTAAGAGTAAGGGATACAAATTGGAAATTTATTTATAGGCTAGGCTAAATTAATTATGTGTTTAAACATAGAAAAAAAAAAGTAGCTCAAAAGGGTTAACTTAAAGATAAACTTATGCAAAGGTAAGCTTGAAAGGCTCAAACGGTTCAATGGTAGCCTAAGTTATCTCTTTAACTAAGTATTACCTAAGATTTTACCTCAAAAGAGAATCAAACAAATTCTAGAATTGAAGACATAATTTAAAAATTTACAATCATATAAACTTTCTTTAGACGTGCACAACAATTCAAAATAAATGATATCGTGCTCAATTTGTAACAAATCTCATCCTAACAATAATGCTTAACATAAGAGTTCAATATAATATTCAAATAATATTCATATTTACTAAAAGAAAAAGATAACAAAATAACTAGGTGTCACTATTGTATAAGTAAATTAAAGAAATTAACATAATTAACTCTAACTCAAGTTCTCCAACCATGTGAAAAATTAAATAATAATAGAGTTATCACCTGCTTTTGTTCATAAGTTGAAGCATTGAGACTTGCAAGTTCAAGTGTAGGAGGATCATTTGAATGATTTGCATTTTTTTAAAATAATTTATCAATTATTTTTAACTTACTCATACTTTAAACAAATCTAAAAAAAATTAATGCAGTCAATATCCAATATTCTTATTTTATTTTTATTTAACCTTAAAATACTAAATATAAAACTATAATGTAAAAAGTATAAATAGTTAAATACAATATACATGATTAATAATTTTCTCTTATATAATCAAGATTGTTTAAAGACTAAATACTTAAGAAAATTTCCTTTTATATACTCAAGATAATTTCGTTTTAACTAAATATAAAATGTAAAGTATATAAAAAAGATATACTCAAGATAATTTCTTTTTATATAATCAAAATTTATAAAACTATGATACATTGATGAACTTTTAAGAAACAACTAACAGTGAAACATTACAACTTGAGAATTACACAACAAGTATTTAATTTTTAAAGTCTAAAATTATAGAAAATAAAATCCATATAACAAAAAAAAATATGACAAGTAAAAGATAGAACTCACATAATAAAAAAGAAAGAAGAACAACATGATTGATGGTTCGTAAAAATTTGAAGAAGAAAATCTATAGAAACTTAGAATATGGGCAAATAGAATAGAAATGAAAAAAATAAATAACTATAAGGAATAATAATAATAATAATAATAATAATAATAATAATAATATAAATAGAAAGAAGAATATAAAAAAAATTATTTCCTCTTAATTTCTTGAAGAATGAAGTGTGTTTTGATAATGATAAAAGAACAAAAGAGAAGAGAAAGAGAAAGAGGCATGGAGAAACTTATATGAGGGAAAAGTTGAGTAGGGTTTGTTAGGTCATTTTATTAATTTTTATTTGTATTAATTATTAAATAAAAAATTATTTTGAGGGGGTCATTAAAAGAAAAAGTATCTAATATATAAAAAATTTAAAAATTTTGGAAGGGGTTATTAAAAATATATATATAATAAATAAAAATGTTTAAAAATTTTGGCAATTGAACTACCCTTCACCCTATTTTGTTGGTTGTGCAATCTCTTTTGGTTACCTAGTGGTAAGACCTCAAGGTTGAGATTGGCTGGCAAGGTAGGCAGTGAGTTCTATTCATGCTGTTTGGAGCTTTAAGGTGATCTTTTTGAGACCTCAAGTGCCTGTTCCTATGTAGGGAGTAAGTTTTGTTCATGTTTTTGTACAGTTTTTTTTTTTTCTTGCGATCTTGCTTGAGTTTGTCTTGTGATGTTGGGTTTGTTTTCCAATTGACAGTGCTCTCTTGTTTCCTTGGGGTATGGCCGATCCATTACTTTTTGTTTTCTGGGGTTAGGGTTGGGGGCCATTTCAAGTCTTGTTTGGAGCGCACATCCTAATGCCTGCGTACAAATTTATATTTTTAATTTAAAAAATATATATAATAAATAAAAAAAATTATTTAAAAACATAAAATTTACTTCATCTCTTACTGATATGAAATTCATAACATCTACATCTTCTTAAGCGATTATGAGTTTAAGACTATTGCTAAGGCATTATTTTTACGCCACTTTGAGTCTATAGCTAGATTATTTATGGCAACAAACTTATTTTATCATTTTTGTTATTGGTGTTTATTCTCAGTTTAATTAATGAAACTTGCATTTAAAAAAATGGTTAGAGAAAATAAAACTAAAATGAAAAGACCTTTCATGAAACTCCCTGTATGGGTTATAAGGCCAAAAAATCAGGCTTGCTAAAATTTTGTCTGGACTACCTTTAGATCTTTTCAAGCATGCAGGTACGGTTGTAAACGATCCAAGCCCAATCGAGCTTAGGTATGGTCGGGTTCAACTCATTGACGTATAAGGTTGTTTAGGTTTGAGTTTGGCTTGACTCAAGTTTAGCCGAGTTCAAGATCGAATCAGGCTTAATTTGTTTAAGCTTAAACGAACTTGTTAATGAACATTAAACGAGTTTATTCATGAACAATTAATGAATATGTTGGTGAATCAAAAGCTAGTCATCAAATAATTTTCAACAAACAAACAAATTCAAAATTGAGAAGCTATAAATAATAGAAAAGAATCAACGTTTTAAACAAGCTTCTAAGAGATTTATATATAATTTTGGAAATGAATAATAAATGAGCTTGTTTGTGAATATAAAATGACCTAAACATACATGCATTTGAACTCAGGTCGTTTATTAAATAAATCAAAACAAACTTAACTCAAGTTTATCCATAAATTATTAGGTAAGCGAACCAATTCATTAACACGTCTATACAAATAAAAGATTTGATCCCATTAAATTATAATTAGTATTTTATAAAAATTAAAACACAAAAATAATTACATTCAAAGCATTTAATTTAATTATTGATGTAGATTTTCCTTATTCAAAAAGTTGAATTCAAATTCTCATTTCTAATTAAAAAAAAAACTACAAAAAATAATTAACCTTGATAGCATCATATCATTCGAAAAGCAATTTAGTCATGGCCAATTGTATTATATTGCAATCATGATTGGATAATGTAATTCCATAAATTTGAATCCATTATTATTGCTAATAGTTTGACAAAGATAAGACTAATCGTTTTTCAAATCTTTTTTTTGGTGTTACATTTGATCATGTGTCATATCCCACGGATATTCCCTTTTATAATTAGGACCCACCTCAATAATATGCATGTACCCATTTATTACTTCCCCTGCAATTATATGCATTATCATGACATTCAAATTTAACAATTAATTTTTTCTTAAACAATCTAGGTGTGTCACAAATCAATATATGCATGCAGCTAAGACTATACATCCTGCATCAATTTTTTATACATTTAATAATAATAATAATAATATTCAAAAAAATTCACTAAATTATTTTAAAATTTTAAATAAAATTTTATTTTTTTATTATATTCAATTAATTTGTTATATTTTGATATATTTTTTATGATTAATTATTAATAAATTATAATTAGTACAAATATCAATTGTCATTTTATATTCATATAACATTGAAGTGAAATGAAAATTATATCACATGATCATATTATCATCTCAAATTAATATATCACGTTATTATCAATTATAATATATTAGTATGTCACGTTAATGTCACATTGTATATAATAATTAACTTTTTGATTGAATTAATCAATAATCATAACAATTTATTTGATTTAAAATAAAAATATATAAAATTTTATTTAATTTTAAATAAAAATATAAAATTTAATTAAATATAATAAAAATATAAAAAATTATTTAAATAATTTAAAGACTTAGTTACCTCCCACGATCCCTTCATTTTCCAACTAATTTTTACAATTGAAATTTCCTCTCTCTCTTCTGTCCAACTCTCTGGGGATCCAAACATACAAACTAATTAATCCCCCGCTTAATATCACCCGCCTTTCTCATCATTTCCAAACATTCCCTTTCCCTTTCCCTTTCCCTTCCCCTTCGCTTCTCTCTCTCTCTCTCTCTCTGCGTCATCGACGTCTGCCTTTCATCAAACGGTACGATTGGCCGTCGTTTTTCATTTCCCTTTCGATGCGTTAGATCTGTTATTTGCTTTCGCCATTGATTACACCTGCGAGATCTAACGCTGGTTTTTCTTTCTTAGATCTAATTTCCAATTTATCAGTTATTCCTTCTTTACTTGATCTGGATCTGTCGCGTGATTGCTAAGAGTTTTATTTTTCTAATTTGTTGAGATTTGGAGATCTTGACCTGATTTTCAGTGTTGAAACAGTTCCATGTGATTCGGCTTTCATTTTTCTTATTGATCACTGTGGATATCTACAGTAAATAGTTATAGCTCAATTAACTGTAATATTATCTGGTCATTTTCCTTTTTACTCTTGTATATTTGCTGTGTTTAACTAATGTGGACCTCGACATTTATCTTTGATGAGGGAAAAAAGTAATCTATTATTTGATGTGATTTAGTTTCTGCAAGAATTGTGTTCACAATTTGATGCAAAAGAATGAAAACATTTAAGTGAGGTTATTATTGTTTAGTTATTGCAGAAATCTAAAATCATAAGTTGGAGTTGTGTTGAATTCATGTTTAGTGGCCATACTCACAATGATCGAATGACCTCCATATTTTTCAGTCTATGGATGTCGTTTGCATGTCAATGCTTATTTAAGAACTAGCAAGTCCGGTCTAATCCAGATGTTTAGCTTGATTGTACGCTAGCTTTATTCCTTTAAGGTTCACCTAGATCTGTCCTCAAATGGGATAATGTGAGGGGCAGAAGATATTTAGTTGAAGTCAGAGCATTGAGTTGGTTAGATGGGTATCTTGATTGTAAGATGCTGAAATTTTGCAAAACTTTGCAAATTTTGGTTGGTAGTTAATGGGAAAAGTATTGCTATGTAAATGTGCTTTATGCTGAAATTTTTTGTTAAAAAATGTGGTTTTGGACTTTTTCCCCTTATTTCTCTCCATGATAATTAGGAAACATAAATCGAAATATCTTATTTGCAAAAGGAGAAATAGTTGCAGCAAAGGTGAGTTACTGTTAGTCAAAGGTTCCAAAGGCAGAAGGATAATTTTTAGCTATTTATAAGAGATGTAAAGCCACTCTTCTGCTTTTTTGTTTATTCATAACATGTTGGAGTATCAGGCTGTTATTGGCTGATCTGAGTTAGGAACTCATATCATTGTTAAATTTATGTTATTTACGCAAGTTTGTTTTCAGCATGTCTTTGTAGACTATTCTCACTACCATTTTTAATTGTGATTTCAAAAGATTTGCAGTTTCCAAGTCTTTATCGTATTTATTGCTATTACTTTTGTAGGACACTCATTGCTGACGTGGCTGAAAACTCTTGGACGTCATATTCACATGGATGGGTTACTTCAAGAACATTGAGTGGTAAAGGCTTTAGGGTTATCACTTGCAGCAAAATAAAAAATGGCTCCAGCTAGTAAGGCTGATAGAAAGGCGGTTGTAGATGCAGCTGCTTGGATGTTCAATGTTGTCACTTCTGTTGGAATTATTATTGTCAATAAAGCCTTAATGGCTACCTATGGTTTCAGTTTTGGTAAGCTTCTTTGAAACACCTTTTATTTGTTTTTCCCCTCTCATTTGCTGCAAATGGTTAAATGATGTTGTGGCCAGTTAGAGTTCAATTGAATTGGAATTTTTACAGTCAAATTCTTCTTTATCTTCAAGACAATTATTTAGGATCAAGTGGTAAGGTGCCATGAAATCGACACTTAAAATGCAAATAGATGAGAAGTTTGTTGAACAAGATGATTTTTTAACAGTTGTGAGCGTTATCTTGGAAAATGAAATCATTAGGCAGAATGGTTCTAAAGTTTTGAAAATTTAGATTGTCGAGTGGTAAGGCTGGAAAATTATATGAGCAATCATGTAAATAAAGCTGTAGAATTGGCCTTATCATATGCAGAATTGAGCATGATGTTCAAACCTAGGATAAGTTTAGTGTAGGTTTGTGGGGGCTGTAAATGGTGGAGAATGTGAATGGCATGGGCTATGATTCCTTTTCCTACCTACCCCACTCCTTTTTCATTGTTGAAGAAGGAGAGTAAGTTGGTCGAATTTGTGGAAAGCAATTTAAAATAGAAAAACATGTCTTGATGTAAGCCAGAGACTACCGGGAAGCCTTTGACTTCGAAGTTGGAAGTAGCTGGAATTAAGTATAGGATGAAGGTGATGCTGGAAAATAATGATCGTACATAAGCTAAAGATTTTTTTTTTTTTAACTTTCTGAATTTTCCGAATATCCTTGGTGCAATAAGGATGTAAATATACTGTCACTAATGTCTTTGTATTTGACTGCTAATGATTGCAGCTACAACACTAACTGGTTTGCATTTTGCTACCACGACCTTGATGACAGCTGTTCTAAGATGGTTAGGATACATTCAATCTTCTCATCTACCCTTGCCTGAGCTTTTGAAATTTGTTCTCTTTGCCAATTTCTCTATCGTTGGAATGAATGTTAGTCTAATGTGGAACTCTGTGGGATTTTATCAGGTAAAGTATAATATTTGCTGGATTTTGCCTGTTGTATTGTTTAGATAATTTGGGAATCACAAACTTTCTAATTCAATGACAGATTGCAAAGCTGAGTATGATTCCTGTATCCTGCTTTTTGGAAGTTGTGATGGACAAAATTCGGTACTCCAGAGACACAAAGCTGAGCATAGCTGTTGTTCTTCTGGGTGTTGGTGTTTGTACTGTTACTGATGTGAGTGTTAATACCAAAGGTTTTGTAGCTGCCTTTATTGCTGTTTGGAGTACTTCTCTGCAACAGTATGTAAGTTCATTTATTCTTGTTCATATCAATTCAATTTCAATGTTCTAAATTGCTGTATTTTTTTCTTATTTGTATTGTTAAGATCTTACAATGCAGTCATTAAATTATTTTTGTTTATTGCTATGCATATCAATTTGATCTCAATGTTCTATTAGTGTTTTTTTCTTTTGTCTGTTTTAAAACTTACAATGTAGTCATTTATTTTTTTGTGTGTCTATTTGTGCAGTATGTGCATCACCTTCAACGAAGGTATAATCTTAGTTCTTTCAACCTACTGGGACACACTGCTCCTGCCCAGGCTGGAACACTGCTGTTAGTAGGTCCATTTCTGGATTATTGGTTGACAAACAAGAGAGTTGATGCCTATAGTTATAACCTAGCATCTGTGGTAAGTGTTCTATCTATTTGTGTTCTTTGGTTTATGATTTTGTGAATCTTGGTTGTTGTTGCCTTCATTGTAGAACAAGGTTAGCCTTTCCAAGAGTTGCTGTCAAAATCATGTTTGTCAATAAAATCGTTTTTGATCGTGAATGTGCTGACTATGTGCAGTTACTTGTGTGTCTTGTAACCCACAATTATATTTAATTTGCATTGCATGTGATGTTGTTGCTCGCATATCTGCATGCATTGCCTAATACCTCTTAGATGCCCTATGGTGCCTAACATCTTTTATGCATATAGCCTCTACATTAAGTTTAGGGATGATGCCTAGTGGAAACATTTGTGTTGATTTCTTTTGATTGAAGAAAATTATTTAATTCTTAGTGTGGTGTGCATTTTCACCTATAGCATGTGCCTCTGATTTTTGGTTTTACCAGAAAATTCGCTCACAGCTGTTTGGGTTCTTGGTCCTTGCAGACGTTTGTAGTTCTGTCATGTACTATAGCGGTAGGAACCAACCTCAGCCAGTTCATCTGCATAGGCAGATTTACTGCTGTGTCCTTCCAAGTACTCGGGCATATGAAGACAATCCTTGTGTTGATTATGGGATTCTTTATCTTTGGAAAAGAGGGCCTCAATCTGCATGTTGTTCTGGGCATGATCATAGCTGTGGTTGGAATGATATGGTATGGAAATGCTTCATCTAAGCCTGGTGGGAAGGAGCGCCGGAGCCTTTCTCTGCCGACCAGCAGACAACCAAAGCATGGTAGTTTGTCGGATTCTAATGAACACGATGGGAAAGTCTAATTCTGCATGTAGGGTAAGTTAAGCATACAAGGACATAGCTGATTTCAGAAAGTTATTGGCTCTCATGATTAGAAAAACCAACCAACCATAATTTTAATTATTTTTATCCTGATTTTTGTAATTCTTATTCTTTGTATTGGGTTCACTCTGAGGGAGGTAATGGATGATTTTCTGATAGGATTAGATGCATTTGGAAATTTGCTTTTCTATTTCAGGAATATAATTTATATAAATTTTTTTCATGCCTTTTGTTCCTTCGAAATTTGTTTCCCATCTCTTTTTTTTTTTTGTGTGTGTTTTTTCGTGCTTTCTCTTATCTAAGAACGCCTAAAAATTAGTAACATATTACAACCTGTTTTTGGGGAAAAGTAGTGAATTTATCAAATTAATGATTAATATATCAATGCCATCAAAAAACAGAAAAAAAAAAATACATAGAAAGAAAAAACTGCAATTAGAAGGCAAGAAGCAGCACATTGTAACGCAAGAACTATCTTTTAAACAGACAAGCTTGAGTCAAATCAACCCAGGCAACTCAGTCAAGTCTAAATACAATATTCCTACAAAATCTGGAACAAAAATGTGAAATCATCTTGCCAGCATCTAATGCTTGGAGAATAACCCTCCACCCCACGGCCTGCTTGCTCCGCCATCCTCATCATCCTGCTCGTCTATCAGCATCTCACTCTGAACCATCAGTATTCAGCAAAGCAGAGCACACAAGAACTTCTCTTATCTGCAAATGGAATGTATAAATGCACATTACAGACCCAATCACCCCCACCACGTACAACTCCCAAGATAAATGTTCTAGGTGTGGCATCTTTTAACTTTTGGGATGATAAAATATCCTCCTCTGCTGCCATCAGCTCGGCTGCATATCACAGGAAATACAGAAGTGTATAACAAAAAGGGAAATAAAAACAGTCCATTTACCTTTGATCACACCTCCACATTCAGCATTGCTAGGATTTCATAGTGCCAAGCCATCAATGACAAGTTTAAAACAGTGATTTGATGAAAGCTTTGAAGTTTCAAAGGAAAAATAGCTCTGATTCTAAATATCTTTCTATATTGCTACTAGTACTATTAACACCACCATTGCGCCTATTCCATTTGAGAAAATATATGCAATTTATGATTTATGAAGTAAAAGGAAACTTGAGTATAAGGACTGAGGGAGATTAAAATTCAAGGATTTCACCTTTCCTTCGAGAGTTCAATGCTTGATATATGGCTCCTACATTATCGACCATTGGGTCCAAAGAGGCTTAAACCACAGGGATTTAAAGACTCTAAAGCAATTAAAAGTAATAGAATTATCCTCAAATAGCAGCTAACAAAATGACAATCATTGATGAAAGAAGAAACAGACCAAGCTTGAGGCTTATGATCAAGACCAAGAAGCCAGATGAATGCATAATCTTCTTCACTATACGTATCAGTGAGAGCTAGTGAAGATAAAACGAAAAATGATGAGAAAAATACCACTTTTTGCAGAAAAATTTCCGTTCTTCCTAGGGAAACCAAACAGAAAGTACCATGATACTGGTTCCTACTTTGTTTAAAAGGGAAATTGACTGACCTCCATTAATGCACGGAATAGTTTCAACATATAATTCTATCCAGCTTGACATTCACATCCAAATGTGTTATAATCAAAGATATTATGTCCTGTCAGAAGAAGAAACATGAGGAGGTAGAACATTGTAGGTTGAAACAGAAAATTTAAACATTCTTATGCTGCAATAATTCCATACCTTTTGGTCACTGCTGAAACAAAAACATAACAAGGTAAATTTTTCATTAAAATCAAAAATCAAACTAACCCTACAAAGATAGTGCTTTTGTCAACTTACCTTCAGTAATTCCAGAGCAGTAAAATTCCTGATAATGCTACCAAATTCGAAATTGGAAACCCTAATTTTGTTTTTCCTAAAAGAAAATCAACAAAGCAAACAATGAAAGAATGATCATGCAAAAAGAAAGTAAGAGATTAGTGACGTTATTACTGTAACAACAAGACCGCAAAACCCGGAAACCATCAGCGCATAGACATAAGGATCTTGATTTTCCGTCGGCGGCAGGTCTCAGGATCTTCTTCGGGTCGAGACAAGAGTAACGGTTCGAATTTCGCGTTCAGGGCATCTACCAACAAACTGTAATACGTATTCTTGCTGATCGGGATTCCCTTCCCGTAAATGTCGTCGTAGTAGACAGGAGACTCGGTCTTCATCGGCGTCAGCGGTGGAAGAGGAGACACGAGCTGCGTCTCCCTTCGACTCGGCGGCGGTGTCGGCGTGATCGGGGACTCCGATTTCTTTCCCATTTCTGAACAATCGTCGGATATTAGGGATTTGAGAGAAGAAGATGAAAACAAAGGATGAGATTTAGACCGTTTGGCCGTTGCATAGGATACCAAGAAAAGGCGGTTCCGAAATTTAACTTTGCAGATCAACGGAAAGGTCTTTACATTTATAGGCCGAAGCCCCGCGGTGACTCAACATTCAAATTAATTCAATTTTGTTAATTTTTTAAATTATTTAATTAATAAAAATTCCTTTGAATTTGGCTTCTTCTTTTTTTTAATTAGCATATACTTCGAAAAATATAATTTAAATAAATTAAGAGCACCTTTGGTTAGCTGAACGAAAGGGAAATGAAATCATTATTTTGAGAGAAAGAATAAAAGAGGGATATATTGGAATCAATATTTTGTAATTTGATTTATGAAATTGTCATTTTAGTATTATTTTAATGTTTGGTTAAAAAATTAACAAATCCCAAAATGATAAAATATTTTTTATTATAATTTAATAAAAAAATTTGAGATTTTTGAAATTGATTATCTTTTGACAATATATATTATTATTAAATTATAATTTATAAAAAAAATTTACCAAACAATTTTAACTTAATTTTAAAAGTTATTATTTTTCATAAAAACTTTATAAAAGTTAAAAAAAACCCTAAACCAGTTAAAAAAAACTAAACCAGAACCAGACAGGCTCTAAGTATAACTTCATAGGGAGTTTTTGGCTCACTATCAATCTTTCCCTTTATAAAATAATCCAATTTTATTGTCTAACATTGGTAAGTTAATTAATTATAAAATTACACAAAATTTAAGAAAAAACTTACAAAAAACAAATCCAATACAATTATTAGTTAAAAAAAACTCTAACAATTTAAATTAAATCCAGAAGACTAGTTTATGATTAATTACTGATTGCTAAGACATTGATTTTTAAAGAACAAGAGATAAACTACTCTGCTTGACAAGAAAGAAAATCCCATCCAATAATAACAATAATTTCCCCTTTATAGAAGGAAATAATAATTCACTTTGCAAAGAAGTTGTGGCTCCAAAACCACAAGTAATTTGCAAAGAGTCCTGGAGCAAATATTTTTGAGCGTAAAAGGAATCCACACAAGTGCCTAAGGAATTGACCATTCAAGGAAACAACATTTAATCTAAGTACCTATAATGAGAGTATTCTTAAAAGCAATAGATAAAGATCAAACGATTGATTAAAACACTACTTGTCTTCACCGGTTTAAAAACAACTCAAAATCAAGAAAATCACATCCAAAATTTGTGCTTAACAGCAAGGAAATAAATTCTCTGCCCGAATGTATATTTCTTCAAAATATATATGAAGCACTCAACGCTTCTTAGAGACACCAACAGTTTTCCCTCTGCGACCAGTAGTCTTGGTGTGCTGACCACGGACACGAAGGCCCCAATAGTGCCTCAGACCACGGTGGTTCCTGCATCACAGTATTATAAATGTGAGTCTGCTATCCCATGCCCTCATACCAAGAAACTAAACCACAAAAGTAAACTGAATCAACCAAGATGCAATCAACTTCTCAAGACTTTCTTAACCCACAGCAAATAAAACAAAGAAAAGAAACAGAGTAGACAAAAGTAGGTTATTTGACTTTGCATTTTTTCCTTCTGGCACAAACCTAATGACAAATGATATATCTTATTCACTCCCTATGGTTATTATATCATGTCTGGATGATTACATAAGCAATAAATGACATAATATGATGATCTTCAAATTTCTAAATTTTTTGAAAGCACTAGGCTCTTCCCATCTTAACCCAAATGAACATCATCAAGATACTGTAAAAAAGACTTCACATATGACAATAACCAGCACACCAGCTTACTTCAAAGCTAGAATATAAGTTAGCAGAAAAATCAAGAAATGACAAATGTGCATTCTAGCAATATTCCCCAGATGCATAATAGCAAAAAAGAAAGACCACAAACCCATTTCTAATAATTCATATACACATGCTATAGAAGAGAATGTCTCAAATAAATGGTAGTCATTCAGTCATATTCTTGAAAGTGCTCACCTAAGAATGTGCAACCCATTCCTAATAGTCAAAGTATATATAACGAGTACCAAGGCAACATAGAATCAAATTAAATGGCAACATTCATTCTTTCATAGAGTTGGCTAGATCATACCTTATAAAGCATCAAATACGTAGCATGTACAATCCAAAAGGGAAAAAATATTTTTATCGCAAACCAGTAAGAACAAAGTAAATAACCTGATCTTCTTCAAGCGCTCCAAGTCATCTCTCAACTTCATGTCAAGAGCATTAGACACAACTTGGGAGTACTTTCCATCCTTGTAATCCTTCTGCCTGTTCAAAAACCAGTCTGGAATTTTAAACTGCCTGGGGTTCGCAACAATGGTCATGAGATTGTCCAGCTCCTGTGCAGTCAATTCACCAGCCCTAATAACAACAAGAAGCAACTCAAATAAACCACCAAAAACTGAACAGCATTCTACAACATCCTTTTGCCACAGGACAACACTATATACATAATTCCAACATTGGCCCGGATGGCTACTTAATCCAAAGTAATATAATAAATCATAACTCAGAATTTTCTTCTACAGGCACATTAATCCATCTACATCTAGCCTCCCTAAATCGTTTCCAAAAGAAAAACCGGAAAACCAAATCATATCTTGTCTAAACGTTGTACCATAAAGCATGTAAGTTAACTGAGCATAAAATTGACATAAACTACCGAAAACACACCAGTTCCTTGTCTAAAGTTTTCAAAGAAAAACAGACCTCTTGTTCATGTCAACATCAGCCTTCTTGCAGACAATGTTAGCGAAACGCCTTCCAATACCCTTGATGGACGTCAAAGCAAACATAATCTTCTGCTTTCCATCGACGTTGGTGTTCAGAACACGCAAAATGTGCTGAAAATCTTCGTTGGCCACCAGAGACTACACGAAACATATAATAAAAAATTAATGAAGGTAAAACCACCAATCTTTCAAAAACAAAAAACAAAAAAATAAAAAACCCCAATTCTAATCAAGCAAAACCAATTTTACAAACGCTAATTTCAAACCATAAAAACATAAACACGAGGCATTTTTAGATCAAAAGATAAAAACCTCTAAGTCGGATCAAGAATTAAAAAGCATATAAACCTACAGAAGAGATGAATTAATGAATTAATGGGAACAGAGTAGTAAAGATTGGGTATTTCGAGGAGAAAGCTGGAACCCTAATTACCATTTTTGCGAGGAAGAAGATATTCTGGGAGAGGAGGGAAGAGGCACTGGGGCACCGATGAGCGGAAGCGGATAACTAACGCAGGTCAAACTAGGGTTTTTGTAAGGAAAGGTCAATTAATATATTTTTTAAAATAATAAAATTCTGAGATAAAATATAGGGGTGTTATATGTACCAAAAATAAAAAAATATAGGGGTGCTATGAATATATTTAAATATTTGTTATTATGGAAATTGTATTTCATAACTTCCACTGTATCTCTTAATATTCAATGTACATATTTATATCGGTACATTTTATCTTTTGTTTTCATTTAATGTATGTACATTCTTATCTATTAAGTTCATCTCTCTATTTATATAAATTCATTTCCGATCCATTTATGTGTACTTATAAATAAAAACTTCGTAGTTGATGGTAGATATAGGAACAAGAAATTAAATAGAAGATTTTTTTACATTCATACTACTTCTCTTTAATATTTTCTTTTAAAGTTTTATTTTATAACACATTATCAATATAAGGTTTTAATAAATTAAGGAGGTAATTTTTTTTAATTCTTCTACCAATTAGATTTTAATTTTGTATACCGTCTAACCAGCCTGAAGTCAACAACGAATCTTGAGCCTCTTTTCGTCCCCTGAAGCGATTATGGGTCTCCAAGAATCCCTGTAGTTATCATAATTAATTTAAGGGTTCAATTTTTGTACACAGAATTATAACAAATATTGAAAAGCCCAAGTTCCACATCTTGGAAGTGAGTGGAAGTAATTATCTATCTTGATGCGTTGATGTCAAAATACATCTCCAAGGGTAAGGTCTTGTTGATGCAATTATTAAAAACAAGAACACAAATGACAAAGATAAGGCAAATGCACTGATTTTCCTTCGTTGTCATTTGCATGAGAGCTTGAAGACTCAATATTTACCCTTCCGAGACCCTAAGATCTTGTGGAGGAGGTTAAAAGAGAGGTATGATCATGCCAAGGTTGTTATCCTCCTTTAGGCATAGTATGACTGGCAGCATATCAAGTTGCAAGATTTCAAATTAATGTTTGATTATAACTCAACCTTATTTGATATTGTGTCTCTGCTAGAGTTATGCGATGTTAAGCTCACTGAATTAGAGCTATTAGAGAAAACTTTCTCCACCTTCCATACTTCAAATATTGTATTGCAGCAACAATACTAGCAACGTCAATTTAAGACGTATTTAGAGTTGATTTTTGTCCTCCTAACTACAGAGCAGACTAACGAACTATCGCTTAAGAACCCTAATCTTAGACTTGTTGGCTTGAAAGCATTGCTTAAAGCAAATGCTAGCTTTGGTAAGAATATATGAGGATTTAAGGGCTGTGAGTGTAGGCAAGGGCATAATCCACGTTACCGTGGCGAGAGGTTTAACCACCCTAAGCTATCCAATCTTGGCTTGAATCATGGCAAGGGTAAGAAACCCAAGAAAGAGCATGATGAAAGTATCTGTCATTGCTATGGTGTGGTTGGACACTAGTCGCGTACCTGTCGTACATCAAAGCATTTTGCTGATCTATACCAAACATCTTTAAAAGATAAGGGTTAGCGTGTTGAAACTCATGTCATTAAGAATCCTATTGTTATGAAATGACTCCCCTGCCCTTGTAGAAGCAAAAACATCCTTAGAAGTCTCTGATTTCTTCGAGGACCTTGATTGCCAAGATAAGGCATCAAATAGGTGGAGGACAACCCAAACTTAGGGTTTAAGGATTTTACTATTTTTCTTGTTTTTTTTCTCTGAATGTATGACCCTTGGTTGATTATTCCCAAGGAAGAACGATATGGTTATTTAATAAAAATTATTATGAAATTGATTCCATATTTGTTATTTAAAATTTTGTAATCCCATGACTAATTTGTAAATTTTCAAGATACTTGACACCTAATGTTGTCAATATAAGTGCAAAGGGGAATTACTGAGAAAAGGGAAGATGTTTATTTGCTTAATAGTGCAATGACACATACCACACTTTGTGGCAAACACTTTTTCTTGAGTGTGACATTGCATAAGACAAATGTCCATACAACATCATGTTTGTTGCCATTATTGATGGCTCTAGAAATGCCAAAATTGTTCTACTAAATGGCACCACCTTGCATATTGAGGATGCATTGCTAAGTAGTAAATCAAACAGAAACCTACTTAGCTTCATAAATGTATGCTGTAATGGGTACCATCTTGAGATAATTCATGAGCAAAATAAGGAATGTCTCTACATCACTTCTTATAAGATGAGGTAGAAGTCTATCCATGAGAAGCTAGAAGCTTTAACTATAGGATTGTATTGTGTCACTATTAAAGTTGTTGAATCTTATGCTAACCAAGTCCCAGAAACTAGGAAATCCCAATAAGTTTGGACTTTGGCATGATCACCTAGGTCACCTGAGAGCTACAATGATGCGTATGATAATCCAAAATACTAAAAGACACCCTTTAAAAGATAAAAAGGTTTTGTTGTCCAAAGTTTATACCTGCGAAACTTGTTCATAAGGATAGCTCATTACTAAACTTTCTATGTCAAAGGTGAATCTTGAATCCCCTTCATTCTTACAAAGAATCTAGGGTGATATTTGTGGACCAATACAGACAAGTGGGTCATTCCAATATATAGTGGACACATTTTGTAAATGATCTTATGTTCGCCTATTATCTACATGCAAGTCACCTTTGCACGTTTACTTGTGCAGATTATAAGCTCTAGGCACATTTCCTTTATTATCCAATCAAGAGAATATGGATAGATAATACTGGTGAATTTACATCAAAGAGCTTTAATGCTTATTATGCTTCACTAGGAATCAAGGTTAAGCACTTAGTTCCACATGTTCATGCTTAGAACAAATTGGCAAAATCCTTGATTAAAAGCATCCAAATTATCATTCGTACTTTATTATTAATGACAAAGCTCAACTATTCAGATTGGGGTCATGCCGCTTTGCATGCGGTGGCACTAATTAGATTGCGCCCCATTGTTAGTGTCCTACAATCTCCCATATAATTGGTTCTAAGTTACGAACCAGACATTTCAGATTTACACACCATTGATTGCACTGTGCAGGTGTTTGTAGCACTGCCAAAAAAGACTAAAATGGGTCCTTAATGCCGTTTGGGCATTTACATTAGGTTTGATTCACCATCCATTATTAGGTTCTAGGAACCAATGATGGGTTATTTTGTTACTGCCAAATTCACAAATTGTTATTTCGATGAAATCGTGTTTTCACCAATTGGGATACCTAAGGCTTCCATGGCTAAGAAGCAGAAACCAGTTGAGATTTCTTAGAATGAGAAAAATCTATCCTGTTTAGACCCAAGAACTCCTAAATGTGAAAATGAAGTACAACGTATAATTCATTTACAAACTATTGTCAACAGACTTCTTGACACATTTAATGATGCTACTAAGGTTACAAAGTCTCATATTCTAGCTATGAATGTTCTAGCTAAGATTGTAGTTCCTGAAGAACAAGCTAAAATGGATCAAAATGGCTCACGTTTGAAGCGTGGTAGATCGATAAGATCAAAAGACACTGTTTTTAGAAAACAAAAGAGGAAGAATCATGAATCCACTCCGGAAGAGCCTGGTGTTGAGCTTGCTCCAGAAGAGCTTATTGCCCTTGAACAACCATGAACCCATAAAAGGACAACTGACCTCGGGAATATTAAGATTTCCATTACACACTGTAATGTGTTTGGGATTAAAATGAGATAATCATTGGTGATGTTTTTGCACTCTCAGTTGCTCATGAGATTATAAACGATGATTATGAACTACGATCTATTATCAAATGTCATTAAAGGCAAGATTGGATCAAGTGAGAGGAAGCAATCCAAACCGAATTGGCTTCTGTGGTTAAACAAAAGGTTTTTGGGTCTGTAGCTTAAACCCTCGACATTGTAAAACCCGTTGGATACAAGTGGGTCTTTGTTCAGAAATAAAATGAAAAAAACAAGGTCATGAGGTATAAGCCTGACTTGTTGCCCAAGGCTTCTCTTAGAGACTTGGGATTGATTATGATGAGATGTATTCACCGGTGAAAGATATGATTACGTTTTATTTCCTTATTAGCTTAACAGTTTCTGAAAAATTGAAAATGCGTCTTATGGACGTTATGACGACATATCTATATGGTTCATTAAACTCCGATATTTATATGAAATTTTCAAGGAATTCAAGATGCTTGAAGGATATACTCCTTGCAATTTATTCTCAATAAAGTTGTAAGGATTTTTGTACGAGTTAAAGCAATTTGACTGCATATGGTATCAACAATTAAACGAGTACTTAATTAAAAAAGAGTAAAAAAATGATCCTATCTACCCATGCATGTTTATTAAGAAATCGAAAATCAAATTTGCTATGATAGCACTTTATGTCAATAATATGAATTTGATTGGAACTCTAGAAGAGTTATTGAAAACTATTGAATATTTGAAAAGGGAGTTTAAAGTTAAAGATTTAGGTAAAACCAAACCTTGTCTTAGTTTAGAGCTTGAGCACAAAGCAAATGGAATACTTGTCCATTAGTTAACATATATTGAGAGATTGCTTAGATGTTTTAGCATGGACAAAGCTCACCTATTAAGCACCTTTATGGTTGTCAGGTCTCTTGATCCTAAAAGGACCCATTTCATCTTAGAGAGCATGATGAAGAGATACTTGGTCCTGAAGTACCATATCTCAATGCAATTAGGGCTTTAATGGCACAATATATAAGATCGGATATCGCCTTTATGGTAAATTTATTAGCATGTTTTAGTTCTGAGCCAACTTGGAGACACTAGAATGGAATAAAACATATCTTATCCACACAAAACTCATTATTAAATCGGTTATTTATTTTGCTATAATGGCACTGCCATTTCTTGACACTCTATTAAGTAAATGCTAGTAACTACATCCTTCAACCACTCTGAGATTATCGCTCTATATGAAGCTGAAAGAGAATGTGTTTGATTGAGATCTTGTATAAGACATATTCATAATTCTTGTTGTTTAACACTGGTTACAAATTCTCTCACTATAATTTATAAAAATAATGCTACTTGTGTTGCATAAGTCAAGGGAAGATATATTAAAGGTGACAGGACCAAGCATATCTTGTTGAAATTTTTCTACATTTAC